ACTGGAGTAGCCGGGAATTGAACCACCAACCTACCAAATTAGAGGGCTCGACCCCCTGAGCCTCCAAACCTCCATTTTTTGATTTAGTTAGCGTGGATAAAGCTTAACAAAGAGCAGCAAATGCAGAAGCTGGCTTGTGTCTGCAAGTCCTGAAATTGCGAAAATAAAATGAGCAGGTATGCTCTGTGCAATCTTCATCCACTGCCACTAAAAAATAAAGAAAACAAGGTCGATTCTCCAACAGCTGCTGTGCACTTTGCTACTGGAAAGTCCAGGTGATTACTTTCTGTTTACTTTTGTTTGGACTCAAGGAAAAGTTTCAGTTTCTGTTGCACTGAAGTGTTTTTTGGAAAGTTGTTGATGGCTCACGCCCTTTCCCCCAGCTGCTCCATTCTCCACGGTTTTGTTTCTCAATCTCTACAATGGAGTATGACAGAGCGTCACTCATTCCTCACCAGTCAGGTGTAAAGCTTTTATTTTGTTTAGTTTTACATTTGGTATGGTTATGTAAACATATCATTATATTGAGCTTTATTATAGTATGTTCATATTCAAGTATATGTTTCTTTGGTTTCTCACTGTTTTTGATTTAATCACTGTTTTCCTAACTGGAGATGGTGCTCTCATGTATGCATGCACATGGATGCCTCCTCCTCCTCCTCCTCCACCACCAGGTTCTGCAGTGTTTAATAATATGATAACCAATACTCAAAAATATGATAATACCCCCGCTTGACAAGTACCATAATCTCCCTTTAAGAACAGAAGCAGATAAACATTAGAGAAGAGCCAGTCAACCCTCATATGCCTGTGCTATTATAATGTACTATCCCTTTAGTGATTGCCCACATCTGTCACAGTGCTTTGGACAACACTCAGTGTGTCTGGAATTGATGCATCTGGCTCTGTTGGATGAGAGGGTGATAATGAAAGAGTGGAAGTTTTATAGTTGAAAAAAAAAAAAAAAAATTCACCCCCTTGTTAAATATATTAAACATATCTTGTGGCTGCGTGGCATCTGGTCTGTTTCTGTGAGCAGACACTGTTCTGGTCCTATGTCTTTCCTGCAGTGGATTCCTCTGTGTATGGCCAAAAATGCTTTAGTCGTGTAAGCTGCAGTTCATCTACTTGCCACAGGAATTGGCTCCTAAAAGCCCAGGTCTCTGCGGGTTCACCTCCTGGCAGCAGTGCCTTGGCTGGTCTCTGGCATGTTGATAGTAAGGTTACCGTTCGCCAACAGTGTGCCACACAAACCAGCGTCTTAAATAAGCCTCTACCTTACTCACTTATTTTCTTGACCTGGACCTGATAAAGCTGAACCAAAGCAGTCTGTTTATAAAGATTTAGAAAGTGGACTTGACCAATTAAAAAGTTCCAATTTATCACTGCACTTCTATTACACTGTTGGACTCATGACGGACGGTTATCAATGCACAGTTAAATGTGCCAAAAGGCTAGGCGAGAACTCCTATGAGGCCCAGCATTCATGTTAAATGGATGTTTTGAACCATCACTAGGCTCATCACTGGGACTTCTGGCTTATCGTCATTATAAGGCTGGGCCTCATGACTGGCAAAGCATTCTCTACTCTGAATGCTCTTAAACCTAACTCACCTTTAAGCTGCTTTAATCCCTTCGCTCAGCCAGGCCAAGAGCAGCGACTCCGCAGCTTGAACCAGTGTCACAACCACTCTTTGCGACTTAAGCTGCCGTGGCCGACCCACTGGCTTGATATGGAGTTTCATCTGAATGCCATGATTGCTCAGTGGTCCAGTCATCATCCCACCACTAGTCCTTACTATCAGTTACTAGTTATATCAGAACATTTTACCACTCTGACGTAGTGCACTTTATAGCCTTATGTTACTTATTATAATCAGGTTAGGCAACTTCATTTGCCAGGCCCCCGTGCGCTCACAAATCCACACAGATTTTTATATTTCTAGTCTTGTGGACAAAAGGGTTTTGTACAACTTTTTTCAATAAACCTTATTTAATAAGCACGTCTCAATGTTACCAATGTGCTTTTCAAAGAAAAAACTAATCTAAAACAAATCCAGCACCATTAAATATAATACAAAAAGAACCAATCATCACAGTAGTACTCTCCAAGACCTGTAAACAGACTGCTGAGTAAAATCAATGCACTTCCCCTTTAATACTGACATAAATAACATAGATCAATATGTCGAACATCTGTTAGTGGTTAAACTGGAAGTAGTCTAAAGCAGTTTGTGCAGTCAGCTGATACTCCAACTCTGAACGCTATGTACTGATCACTGTTGAGAGTTAAATTCGTGAGAGTGGATTTTTCCATTAACAATTCCTTTCCTAATGTGCTGAAAATCGCCCTTGAAGTTGACGAGTGTCTACTCCGCAGTCCGGAAGGCCATCGCACCCCACACGATTTAAATTGATGGAAAGCAGGTTAAAGATGGATTGCAGAGACTGTAGCGCTACAGTAGCTACGTCAGCAGCAGTGACAAGAGGTGTTAAAAATTAATTACAGACAGAAACTTATTCTCTCCTGCACGCTTCAGTCAATACATCATGTTCAGCCTTTAGGAGCGGTTGAGGGCATTTTGCTACCTGATCTAGACAGTTGAGTAAATGGATCATGGAGCTGGGGAAATAGATGCCCTGAGAGAATTTCTGATCCAATTATTTAAAAAAGATACTGTCATGTGGCTTCGTTTGAATTGCAGACACAATGCAGCCAAGGTGCAGAGCATGTGAAATGTAAAAGGGAGGCAGGAGGGATAAAATAAAGCAAGAGCAAGAGGATTGTCTTGTGCGTGAACGGCGAAGACGCAGGGGTTTGTGCTGTTCATTTAATGCAAGGTTAGGCAGGCTGAGCTGATGATAGACTGTCGACAAGAGAACAAAAGCAGGCGCTCCATCACAGGACGGGAGCAGCGGCTGCCTTCCTCACCGATCCCGAGCACTGGTCAGGAGCGTTTACCTTCACACATCCTAACCTAACTACTGAGGAGCTGCAGCCAACACTGACTACAGATCAGTAATCTTTATGGTAACCTCTCCCTACTCTGCCGGGTCAATAATCATCTGTAAATCCTAGGACAAAAGACTGGTTGTGGAGGCGAAGTGATCTTATACACAAAATACTGCATTTAAAAGCCAGAAACCACAAGTCTGAGAGCATGACTGAATATGACCGCTCCCACCACCATGAATCTATTTTGCTGCGGCGTACCCCTAACATGACTGGCCTTACGTCCTAGATATAGAAACTGGTTGCTTCAATTACAGAGCAGAAAAAAGACAGGAAAAATGAGTGGATGTTTACAACAGCCCATTAAGTCACCAGCAAAGCAGGCCAGAAAATAACCACTATTGATTATCCATATAAACCAATACACCAGACAGTGCAGTAACACTGCAGCACAACACAAAGCTGCTCCAACACAATGGCTTTTTCTTTTTCTTTTTTTTTTTTCCTCTTACAGACAGATCACTTTCTCACAGCGCACAGCGTCAGTGCTCAGTGGTGTGCTGCTCTGTGGTCGGCAGGTCGCTGCTGTTAGAGAGAAATGTGGCTGGAAAAACTGGAGGAAGCTCAGGGGGAGGGGTGGGTGGGAGGTGGGGGTGGGGGGGGGGGGGGGGGGGGGGGCGTTGATGGCGGCTGCCAGCACCTCACCAAATAAACTCATAAACCATTCTCCATGCTTTGGTGCCTACAGCTACTGAGGACACACACTTCAGTTTTGTGCTGCGTTGTCATTGGTCAGGCTGACCTACACACCACAGCTTAACACAACCTCGGCCAGGTTTCAGATGAGTCCTGTGACGTCTTTCATTGGACTTTCGTAAAAAGGTCGTAAATGATCAGCATTTATTTTCAGTGATGAAATTAAATGAGTCGGCTGTTGTTTCATTTTGATTCTGGGCAGAAATACAGTATATGGAGGGAGTGCTGCCGGTTAATAGGGTTAAATTACTTTTGAAAACCGTAAACATGCAAGTACGGCTGCAGGATATGCAAAAAAATAAAAAATAAAAAAATCATAATGAATTTATTTGGCAGATACTGCGATTTCAGTTAGAATGGTCATTTTTGCATTTCATTTAACTGAATTTTTTATTTTTTTTTTAAATGATGATGATGTGCTATTTGTTGGATCTTGTATTGTAATTGTGCAGCCCTACATATAAGTATGTTAAAATGCTGTTAAATATTGTTTTGACATGTGGGAAAAGCATGTACAAGAGGTTGGAAGGAAATTCAAACATAAGGAATAACCAGGACAGGCATCTACAAACACGGCAAGCGTTTACGGCTCCAAGTTGAGAGGTGGGTTGTGACTGTGTAAGCAAGTGTGTTTTGGCGTTTGAGAGAATGACAGGGCAAACAGGCTGTGAACATTCACTATGACACGTAATTCAAAGTCACATTAGCCTCACTGCTCTGATTCGATTTGAAACTCTATTAACTATCAACTGACAGACATCCTCTCAAATACAGAAACATAATCCATCAACATGACCTGACTGATGTCTTTGCTGTTTGTACTGCCTTGTTCCCTTCGCACAACATCTCTGATAAATGACAGACGATACCAGTGGATGTTCAAACTTTTGTCTCAGGTCTTTTTTTTTTTTTTTTGGGTGTAGTCCTTTATGTTTAACACTCGGACTAAACTAGAACTGAAACAAATTCACCTGGGAAAGATAAAGAATGTCTTGCACTACTTTTTATTCATAAATAAATTTTGCAGTATAAAAAGTGACATGCTAATTAAATATTTCTCATTCACACAGCTAAGACCTAATGCCACAAAGGTAGACTCGATTTCTGCAGAGGAAATGAATGTTATTAGCAAAACACTTCAAATCATTTATTTCTAATATAATTTTAAATGTTAACTTTACAAACTCTTCTCATAGCAAAAGCATCATGGATATCTCAGTCCTACGCTGCCCACTCAGTATGCAAGTGGGTAGTGTCAACATGTGTGTGTATGTGTGTGTGTGTTACTTACAGTGCAGTCTGTAGTGTTTGTTATCTTCAAGCAGAAATCTGATGCGAACTCCAGCTCAGACAGGCACACTCTGTTACAGTCAATCGTCTGTTCAAAGTAAAAAACACACATTTTATGATGCACACCATAAAAAAAGATAAACACTGATGACAGTATGAATTGTGATTAAGCAATACAAAAAAATAGAGATAAAAAAACATGAAACAATAAGCACAAAGCTTCAAAATAAGTACACATACTGAAAAAAAGCTGGTTTCTCGAGTAGACAACTAAACGTGCTAAACAGGATGTACAGTTCATTCAGAAAGTATTCAGATGCATTTTTTCACATGTTCTGTTGCAGCCTTATGCTAAAATAAAAAAACAACAACACAGTCTTAGAATAATGAACAAACATTTCAAAGTCAAAATAATGGATGTTTTTCCTGTTTCCTCTGTCAACATTGCCTAAATGAAGCATTAGTGTCTATTATATAGGCAGTAGTGAACAAGTGAAGGGGTGGTGGGGGTGGGGTGGGAGGTGGGGATGGTTTGGACAGTAAATATAGTGCAATATATTGTAAATACGGAGTGATTTACGGCACAGCCATTCTGCTGGTGGCCGAGTTTTACTTATAGATGAATAAAACTCACTGACATCAGCACAACAACCAGTATTAAAACCATGACTGAGCATGAAACGCATTGTGTTATTAAGCAGGTTGAAAGCAGCTTCAATTGCAAGTTAAATATTCCTCTAGTTTAACATTCCTATCTGTTCTCACTGAGAAAAAACTCATCTGTTTTGCAGGAATTTATAATTCCACGAAAGGGCTCTCAATTTTACGGAATAGCAGCCAGCCTTAATGGAATGTTATTGGATCGTATCAACGGGAGGCAATAGATGAGAGTCCATGTAATTTGGGCAGAGGGGCTGTCTATTTGTCACTGGAGGGGAGAAACTATCGATTAGAGGATTCAAATTCCATTATATCAAGTTCTCCCCTCATTCATCACATCCACAGATGGGTGGAGGACATGCTACTTAGCAAATAGGCCAACCGGCAAAGAAACACACGGCGGTATGAGAGACAAGGGGGAAGAGCAGTCCTGCACAGAAAGATTCAGAAGAGGCATCTATGTTCTTAGACGTTGGACTGTGTGTGTGTTTGTTTTATCTTTGCGTAATGTGTGTGTGTGCTCTCCCATCAGCTCAGTGAAAACTGCTCTATCCACAGGGGGCTGAGAGTAATGAAGTTTCCTTAAGAGGAACTTAAACAAGGATTAGATAGATCAATCACCCAGCGCTACAGCATCACTACACGTGCACACACGCACACACACACACATGCACACACACATACACACACACCTACCTATCTTCAGGGCCCTATCTCTCTCTTTCTCTACAGCTAACTCCTGCTCTCCTTCTCTGTCTATGCCCTAACAGCTTGGGCCCCACAAACTCTATTTCCCCTGTTTGTGATGTGTGTGTGTGTGTGTTGTCGCACACACACACACACGATTGGACTGACAAACTGTTTTACCAATAAATCCGTCCAATACAGGTTTTAATTACCAGATATTGGGCAGTTAGTGTCATCCACAGATGACACAACTGACGACTCACAGTGAATTTGTACTTTTGAGACAAAGGCTTAAACTTAATTTAAAAACCGTTCTATTATGTTTCTAAATTTCCTAAACTGTTTCATAAATCACAGATGTTTTCTTTCTTTTTTCAACTTCACCTGGGATCCTTTGATTTGTGAGCACTGGTTTCCTCTCATTGTTTGATCTAAATATTTTCACAGACCTGAAGCGGTAAAATTATACTACTATTATACTACTGACACACTAGTATTAGGTAATGCAAGTTAAACTTCTTTTTTCTTTTCCTCTATTTCATACAAATGCAGAAAACAGCATAAAACAGCAAACAACCAGTAATATGTCAAATTATGAAGACAAGTCGCCCTCTTGCACTTTATTGTAATTTTAGAAACACTTAATACTTTTGCTACTTGCAATTTAAACTCTGTAATGTTACAATCTTCCAAAGCAATGACACCTTAGGTTGTGGCAGTAACCTATAAGCATGTTTACCTGTATGACAGTCGGCTCAGAGATGAGAGTATCTGCTTTCACCACTTCGACCATAGCCTCAGGCACCACAGCCTTCTTCATGCATGCCATGTTGAAGCCATACACGTCGTCCCAGAATGCAATGCGGTCTTGGTGCTTCTGTGTGTCACCCAGTGCTGCCAGGCTGATATTACAAAGGTCTGGATAGACTGTGGAGAAACGAAAAGAGCAGGGAGTCAACTTTTCAACTTAATAAGCTGTGTGTGTGTGTGTGTGTGTGTGTGTGTGTGTGTGTGTGTGTGTGTGTGGATTCACTATGAGTGAATCTGTTCAGGAATTTATTTTGCTCAAAATAAAAGTCCATTAATGATAACTAAAAGGAATAGGTGGTGAGATGTGCTTAATATCAACAAATGTAATGGCTTACAAACCATTCGACAAATTTAATCAAAAGGCCTTAATATCTTGTGGGTGTGGAGCTTTGCATCAATTTCATGAAGCTGCTGTAATGACTGTATCCATCACATGTGCACAAAACAAGCCCTGATGACCATTGTGTCCTACTTTCATACTTTACACTCTGATATATGAGATATGATATATATATATATATATATAGGCAGCGATTATTGTCGCTCCTCATATTACATAACATTGTCTACTGAGTGAACATTATCCAAGACTGAAAATGAGCATTAAACATGAGCCTTAATGTCTTTTCATTGCATTTTCACATCTGAATAGATTTCTTTGGTTAATACGCTTGGTGATTAACCAGAGCTGAGATGCTTGAAGCCATTGGTATTCCTACTGTGAAGTAACATTAGCCAACACAGAGGCCTAGGGCCTAAGCTCGAGTTTAGACTACACCCATACAGATTTATCATAACAGGAGAGTCAGAAACAAATATCTGTATACGTGGCAGATAGAAAATAGGAAAGAATTAGCAGAAGCAACAGCAGTCGGTCTTAAACAGTTAGCAGCATCGATACGACATAGACACAGTAAGAAGTAAGCAGTAGCAATAATGCTTAAAAGAAAATGATATCAAATAATCTGGAGCCAACAGGCATGAAGCAACAGCAATTAGCAATGTGCATTAGCTTACCAGATGCTACGTTCATCTATATCTAACAAGCTGATTAGTTTCCTCTCACACACACAGCACAGACATGAACCTGAGCTTTCAAATAGAGCCAGTGTATCTATATCTTATGGCTACCCACATTTTAGGAACGCGTGTTATGAATGGCAGAGAAACTGATTATAAAGCAGGAGCGGTTTGAGACGTTTCCGTGAACATTTTGATACTTTTCAGCCATAAAAACCTCAGGCTAACAAACTTCAATTATATAGCACTTTAAAAAATGTATAAAATGCTTTACAGACAGAAGAAAGGAGGAAAGAGGGGGTTAGAAGAAGCAAAAAAAATCATCCGAGAGTTAGAATCTGTTGTAAATGTTGTGAAACCAACCTGCCCCCAGACTTGATTCTCCATAAAGGAGCAAACCACAAACTTTTTATTCTTTAAAAAATTCAAGCCTTCCAATGAGGAAAATTTATATTTTTTGCCTGGCATGCGTGTTAGTGCGAAGTCTCATATAACACACTGGACCATAAAATGTGTGAATGGATGGTGACAGCTCAGTGATGGGCAACTCATGGCCTCTCATTATTAGCTGAAGCCTACTTGTGACCCTGTGAGTGTCACAATACCTAATGACTGTGCACACACATATTGACACACACATTGACACGCAAACAGCAGATTTGTCACTTCATTTTACTCTGATTACTGAACCGAGTGAGTAATTATGAGGGCCAGGTGAGGGGGGGGGGCTGCTGATTGGGCAGAATTGGGACAGGCCCGTCTGCGAGACACACTGAAAAAGAAATAGAGACAGAGAGACGAATAGGCAAGCGGGGGGGTGCTGTGGTGTGGATGGAGAGGGAGAAAGACGAAGGGGAAGAAGGAGGAGGGGGGGGTACACGGGCGTCCCCAGATTCATGGCTTTGACATCTGCGTCCTTCTCGACTCGCTGCTCACAGCCCGTTTGTCATGCACCCCCCCCTTCCACCCTCTTCTCTTGCTCTCTCCATCTCCCCCATTGGTCGGCTGTGAAAGAGGGAAAGACGGTGTGGGAGGGGGCATGGGACAAAACCGATCCCTTTTCCCTGGACGCTGTGCTGTGCCAGGCATGCAGGGACACATTTAAGGATGGAGGGGAGGTTAATGTAGTGGGGAGAATGAGGGAGCCGCTGTAACTCTCTTCTAATGTAGCTTAAACACACATACAGCAGCAGTACTGCAGGGCTGGACTAATAACTCAGCACAGCCACGTGCACACGCACACTGAAATATACTTAAGAACAGAAGTTGATAAATGTAATGTGACACAATTACTGTATTAAGATCAACATTAGATAAATTAAGTTCAGGTACGTGCCTTTGTTGTGGCTGTTACATTAAGGTGCAGTCTGGCTGTGCAGAAATGCAGGAATATTCTGCTTCGCAGATTTGCACATAAATACTGCCTGGGGCATGTTTACCTCTGAACAAAAATAATAATATGGAGGAGGCTCCACTCACAGTACAGACACAGGTAACTAACCTCTTTTTAGTTCCTGGCACCATGCACGCATGCATGCTGAATTAGCCATGAGAAGTAAACAGAATTTATCAAATTAGTGAAATTCGCAGCCTCTCACAGTGCTTTCACACGTTGCAATGCAACCCTGAACCTATCTCGACATTACCCTGAGGAGCCGTATGTGAGAACGCAAGTGTCCGAATTAGTTGGACAGGACATTGAATGGACTTTACCCTGCCAGCTCCCTAGTAGTAGTCTGGAGAATTCACAACGAGCGAGTGGGCCTGCCGATGACGCTTCTATCCTGCCTCCTGCACGCTCTATCCAGGCGCCACCCCTCGCCTTAAGCAAACACAGTATTTCCAGTAGGTGACAATGCAACACTGGCCAATGCCCAGACCTGAATCCCTGGACACTGCTATAACAACAACAGCTATACTGACCTTAAAACTAATTTCAATTCAAAATAATAAAAAAACAACAACCAAAAAAACAACAAAATGCTTATATATGTTATTCTAGAAGTCACTTCAACAATAGTACAGCAGCAGGGGCAGGACCAGAGAGGATCCACCTCTATTACTGTGTCAGAAATAACATGAAACAACCTGAGAGTCCTGCCTCCAAGTAAGTTTTCCGGGAAATAACACACAATGAGATGTGCAGTTACAGAAAAATAACACAATTATTTCCTTACACCGCTGTAAATGCAAATAATTAAAATACAGCCCCTCGGACTATATGCTATTTAAATAGACATAGTGTAAGGACTATGTTTTAGGCTGTCAAGCTTAAAAAGATTTCCTGGTTCCATATTAAACCATGATTAGAGCCCAGTGCTCCACTTGTTCAAGTCGATGGTGCTGCTGGACTACTTTTCTGTGTTTTCATAATACTTCCCACAATGCTCCCTGGCAGTAGATCCAGTGAGAGAAGCCCGTGTTGGGAGCGTCAAGGTTAAAGGCTCATGACGAACCATATGGTGTCCTCTGACCTGTCACTTTCTGACTCGCTCAGGTCGCACCTTCGCCTGTCCAATCTCCCTCGCTAACAGATCTGTCTCCATAGGTGAGTGTGACCTCTCCCTCACGTCCCAAGGAGCGACTAAAGGCAATGTGGTGGAACCGTTCCTTAGTTGGGTCACATTTGGCAAAAGCCATTAAATCTGGTCAGTGGCAGCGGTGGGATGACACCGGAGACTGACATGCACACAAACACGCACAAAGGAAAATCCCTGAAGAACAAGGGTCTTTCCATACGTGTCAAGCTGTAGTCTTAGTGCACCATAGGGTTTCATTATTGTGACTCAAAAACCTCATTTCAAATATAAAATATCCATCTTCTATCTTTTGCTTCTAATATCTTATCTCTATTGTCTTTTTCTTTTATGGTTACACAACACATCAAATGAGACAAAATAAGACAGGAGCACAACAACATGTCAAGCAGCATGAGGTCAAACCAACACTGCCAGGTTGCCACTGAGGCAAAGTGTGAAAGCTCAGAGGACAAACTCAGCTTCTGTATCCATGTCTCTCCTCTTCGCCCATCCTTCATGCCAGCCGTACAGGAGACATGTTGTCTTTAAAACAGCTGTGTGTCAGCTTGAGGTGAGCTGCTGAGCCTCCCCACTGACTGAACCATTCCCACTCAGCTGTTTGTTGCACCACCTCTGAGCACTGCGTCTTTCAAGTGAAGATAATGAACAAAAATCCTTCATACATTTCCGGCTTTGCTTGGATTGGATTGTATAAATCAAGGGAAGTACTGCAATGTTTGCTGCTTGTATAGACCTGTGTGCAATTTGACACAGCCAGTGGGAAATAGAGGAAAACACCCCATTAATTCCCATGTGTTACTTTTAATAACCAAGGGATTATTACAAGGTGTCTCCCTGCTGGCAGGTTAAATTTCGGGTAAATCTGACCTCAGTATCACTCCGCGCTGCCCCACCAAATATTCCTTTGTTGAGTTGCTAACACATACATATACACAACATGTGGATTCATTTCATCAATAGTACAAATATTATAAGATTTGCAGAGAAAAACCTTTTTGGGGTTGAAAACTAGAGTTAGACAAATTACCTCCTTTGTAAATTTAATGTTTGCCGAAAAGCTGACCTGTCCCATTTGATCATACATTTTCACAAGCTGTTCTCCATTTGGTTGCGTCGGCAAGTCCAGGGAAACTCGCTTAAAATGGAGAACAGGCAGCACATAAGGTCTGAGGTTGAATCGCTATCAGCTGATGATTAAACAGCAGCAGGCAGTGGAAATGCTGTGGTAAATCTTAGTTTAGTCTTTTGACTTCTCTTTATTGTTGGCAGAGACACTACCTGTTCCATTTGAATCAGCACATTGCATATGTATTTATTAATCTGTATTGTTTACAATGCTGTTTGTACATGCGGCATGGAGCTCTTGATTCAGGTGTGCTGAGGTGGAACAGAGTGCAAACCATGGCCAGTTGGCACAAAGCTGCTCTGTACTGGTCAGGTTTTGGAGCACACCCAAGAGAGTCTGTATTTACTGTAAATTTTCACACTGGTGGGAAGGTGAGTTTGGCTCTCAGTGACACTATAGCAGAAACACACCCCTTGACACCCACCCCTCCCACCTCCCACATGCCACTTTGGTTGATCGCCAGTGTTTCATCACTCTTAAAATTAAAAATGATTTTACTGAAAACAAATTTTCTGTAGAGAAGGGAGTTTCTGTGAGATCTGATGTAGGTGTAAAAGGTGTATTTATATGAGAAAATGAATATATGAGTATCTAAAGATAATTCTGACCAACACATAGATTCTAATCTAACCAAACTACCCTTTGCGTGATCTGGATTCGGTGGTGAGGACAGGAGAAAGAATATGTGACCTACCTGAGCCACCGTCAGCCAAGTAGAGGTCTCTGGCGTACAGGACTGAGTCCAACATGGACTCAAACAGCAGGAAGTAACCCTGGAAGAGAGGAAATACAAGTTACTATCTCAGCTTCTTATGGAAAAAGTTCACTGAACAAAAGACAAAAGCAGCTTCTCATTCAGCATCACCTGCTGCCTTCGACAGTTCCAGGCATGTAATAAATGCAGGCCAGGAGACGGCTACAGAACTGCTGGACAATTCAATTATTTTTTAATCCAACATCACCAGGGTGAAAATGTGAATTAGCAGTGACTGTGAATTGAGTGATGTGCCCACGTGGTCTGCCGCCCAGCATCCAAAGGTTTGACCCTGGGCTGACCTCGTGTTCTGCTCCAGTAAACGGCACATTAACCGTGGTATTATTTCATTAATGCTGAAATTGAGTTTTGTCCACATCTTGTTGGCTTCGACCTGAGTGGCAGATACCGCTGACAAATGGCTTTTTCCACCTACCAGCCCTTCAACCAGAAAACCCGACCAATCGTGTGAGCTCGAGCCGCAACGCCGGCCCCTTCAATATGTTATTTGTGAGCACAACATCTGGGCTGGTTCAAACATATGGGACGGCACATCTCCATCAGGGACAAGGAGGTGGAGCAAAATCCCTACATGCGCATTTTACTCTAACTTCTGACCCATATCAGTCCTTCCAGAGCTGTGACACTGACTGCCTCCTTCAGGAGCAAAAACACCCAACAGTGCTTTCAGATCTGTGCTTCAGGATGAAAACACAAGCATAAGGAAACGCAACATATTCAGTTTTCAATTTTAGTGCTATTATGGTGTATTTCATATTTGTAAGTTTGGGAATATTTGGGAAATGGCTCACTACCACTGTATTTGGAGAGCTGCACCCATCTGAGCAAGATAATAAGCAGCTATACAGTGATACAACTGATGATATTTGTAGTGTGAACTCATTCATGATAGCTTAGTTATGTTTAAGAATCAAATATGTCTGATTTTACTTCAGTGAAGGGAAAGAGGGACAAGGAGAGGTGAGGGCCAGGGCAGAAGATTAAGAGTGAGTGAGTGTGTGTGTGTGTGTGTGTGTGTGCATTCGTATGATGAAGACAAAGTGGAAAGCAGGAGAGAGGAAGAGCACGACAGAGTGATAGAGAGAATGCAGTGGCCAGCTGAATAGCAATTCAGCGAGATAAGAGCCTTATTATTCAAATACAGAGCTGGAGAGAGGAGAGGAGGGCGAGCAGCAGACAAACAGCGGAAACAGCCCTGATTTATAACTCCAGAATCGTCACCATCGCTGTCATATGCCTGAGCTGATAATGATGACGGCGATGAAGCTGATATAACCAACTCAACCTCTGTGAGGCGATAAGGGGAAACATCCTCTCCGTTTATTGATAGTGGACTGGTCTCGAACCAAAGTCAGACTGGCCACTCGTCCGCTGCCGACTGACGTGGTCCAGCCGATGTCCTTAGCAACAGAGCAGGTCATTTTTAAAACCCCCTCACACAGAGTACACCGGCCTCGTAATTTAGAGCCCAATTTCACAGGACACTGATTCGCTTGAAGGAAAGAGGATATGAGAGAGAGAGAGAGAGAGAGAGAGAGAGAGAGAGATGCCTGAAAGCAGAGTCACACCTTACTTTTATTGTCAACAATGCTCCAGGATTACTCCCCCCCCCGCCGCCTTCCATGTCCTGCCAGCAAGCAGCACGTACCACACCTCCCTAATTCATGCATCTGCAATATTAATTACCAAAAACACAGATCAAATTCTGTGTCTGTATGCTGTTTCACTCACACCAACTGTCTGGTATCACAAGAAGGTGCTACAAAGTTGGGCTTTTAATGATGCAAACGTATCCTTCGAGGCAGGCAGTGTATTGATAAGTTTAATTATGGGAATATAGTATCTAAATTGATTTCTGACAGTTTCGTCAAATTCTGACCAACAGTGTTTCAGGAATGATTTAAGACTTAAAACCTTTCATTAAAAAGCCAACTATGTTTTTGATTCAAGTTAATTTTCTTGGATTAATTGTTTGAAATGCTGGAAGAGAATGAAGATCAATTTGGTAGAGGCTGCAAAGGTTTGCAAGAGGGGCCCATCATTTATGAGAAATTACCACAACCTGAGTGTAAACAACTGAGCTTTTTACGCCACAAATTATACTGATATGTTGCGTTGAGTCCGAAAAATACTCTGACATTTTGGGACCTTTGCTGATTTGCAAGCTTTCTGAAAGTTAGATGAGAAGGTTAATTCAAGCTCTGTGCGATTAAAACAGAGATAGCAACATGTTTAGCTTAGCTTAGCACAAAGAGTGGAGGCAGGTAGAAACAGTTAGCCTCTGTTGAAAGAGCAAAAAAAATAAAAATAAATTCAAGAAACTAACTTCAAAACTGTCTTAATCCCGATGTGTCGGCAATGAAGCTAACCGCTACTGTAAAAAAAAGTTAAAGTATCCCTCTAGGAGTTAAGGCCTTTCCCGATTTACTGGCGTGTCTCACAAAACAATCTTGATGTACCTGCAATCACTGACATGTTAGTGACATGTTCAATACCAGTGAATCAAAGAAGAGTGATCGACCTGGTTTAAAAAATTAGTTAAATGTAAATTGTCAGTTAAAAACTGCACCAAGGAAAAAAAAAAAAAAAAAAAAAAAAAAAAAAAAAGCTTTATCTGCCTCACGTTCTCTTTTATCTCACTTCACTTTATCTTCATTGACTTGTGTTGAGAGAAACAAGATTAAATCTCAACTAGACTTATTTGCTAACTTTTTTGATACCATTTCCACCAATCGATCCGTGTGTCTGCGGGCTCAGTGATACAGACAGGTGGAGGTGTTAGCGTGAGGAAACAGCTCCGTTTACTGTCAGGCTGGAGCAGGCGATGCTCTGCAGTATAGTCACTGTGCATTTCCATAAAAGAGACTAATGAAAACCTAATGAGAATGGGCTGGAGCAGCTTATACACATTAACAAAATTAGCATATAAAACACATTCCCCTGAGTGGGCTACCGCACGCACTCACATACACATCTGGAAATGCAGCAACACACACACAAACACACACACACACACAAACACACACACAAACACACAAAAGAAGAATGGCAAACACACTTTTACAGTTGTGTTACCTTTGTACTTGTTTTATTGAGTTATCAGTGCCCTTAATTTTATACTAAAAGCTGTTATGTATTACAGATGGAGAACTTTTATAATTACTGCTGCAATGTTTTCCTGTCTTTAGTTGCTGGAGGCAGAGTAGAATTTTTTTTTTTTTACAATTTACAGAACCCTTGTCCATCAACCCTTGGGAGACTGATTGGCTGTCAATTATAGGTACCAAGAGACACGTTGGTACAAAATCTGCATCAGCAGTTTACACTTTCCTCCTCCCTCCAGTTCCTCCTCCTCTCCTTCTGCATTCAACACACGTGTTCCTCAATTACTGCAGATCATCATCACTTCCAGTCCCGGGAGGGCCAAGGCAAAATAAAGGAGATGGTGTGCATGCATGAATGTGTGTGTTCCTGGATGTGTGTGTGTGTGTGTGGGTGGGAGTACTTTCATGCTTCACTGAATACTGAAGGCAGCACCTCCACGTCAACATGCCTCCTCTATACTAGTCTATGGTCAGATTACACCAAATTAGCATAAACATATCACAAACATCGCTGTAATAGATTTTCATGTGTTATTGCTTCAAGTGTATATGGTGCAGGTTTCAATATCAGCCTGATTTCCATTTTAAAGCCATGCAAATGAAAGGTAGTGCAACAGCAAAGTAATTTGCAGTATAGCTACAAGGTTATTAGAAGCAGCGGCTCCTCAGAAACCAAGGACATCCTGTGTTTTTAGATGTTACAGCGATTTCCATTGCCTGTAAAATACAATCAAAATAAGGATTCAAGGATGTGCATGTACCTATTATCTTTATCTTCTATTTAATTTCATGGTGCAAAATTTCTACCACTTTTTGTATTACGTCTTTACTAAGACAAAACAAACCCTCACAGACATCAAAGATGTACAGACATAAGGTATGCAGTCTCTATCCTTTTAAGTCCTGTCTCTACACATTCATGAATTGGGAGTCACTGAGTCTTTGATTTGATTTGTCTCTGCCTCAATTTGTGCCAACCAGAAATTTGTGCATATTGCCATCCACTGCTATCACTGCAGTGGCTTTATATGAATCATGCTTCATCTAAAACCCGTTTCATGTTCAGTCTGAACACATCTTTCCCCCATGGGGAAATAAAGCATATTTTATCTCATCTTACCTATGTTGTATTTGTCCTTTACTCTCTCTCTCTTTCTGTTCTATAAATTGTTAACCTAAATACTGTTGAACAAATGAATGAAGGGAGCACGACATAATTAAACCTCGTTAGGTTTTACAGGCTGCGTCTAGCTGTAATGAGAGAAGAAGAACCTCCATCATGTCACCAGTAGACGTCATTACTAGATAATCTGATATGTAACACAGGCCAAAGCATGAATTTACTGTTTGGATTTTGGGAAAGGCACCTATAGATGAAAACCCATTTGGTTTTAAGGTCAAAGTCTTACTCAGCAGCCTAAGAAATAAAGCAGTATTTGCCTTTGAGTGCCTTTGTGTGAAATAAAACGTTATAGCTGTGAATTCACACATACACTATAAAAATCCTAATACACTTGTATTCGGCGGTGTACTTGTCCAAGCATTCATGGGCCGTTATTAAATTCATCATTTTGAAGGAACAAGGGGGCCATTTCTCTCCACAAAAAACAATGTCAGCTGAGTGATGCAGGATTATGGGTTTGGGTTTATGAGGATGTCTGTTTGAGGGATACATCAGGTCGTCAGGTTCACGTTCTGCATGCAGCAATGCTCCTAAAACCAGGGAGTAGCTACCCCTTTACTTTGGTTGTTTGGAGAACTGCAATGTTGCATTTTGGATATAAAGAGTAGTTATTACTGTATTGAATTGCACAATTAGTCTTATTAATATACCACCCTGCTTCACTAGACACTAAGAGGAAGAAAAAGAGTTGCATGCTGTGCTAATATGCAA